GCCCAAGGTGGCCCCAGTAGAACGCCCCTCCAGCACGTGCTCACTCCTCAGAGCTGCAGGACGGTGATGCTCCTGTTGCATGGCCTGTGGGCTAGCACAGTGTGCCAGGGGCAGAGCTGCCAGGTCTCTGTGTAGTTAGTGCTGGTGAGCAAGGCGAGCACAAGCTTGACTTGGGGGCTTCTTCAGCATATCTGTGGTCCTAACTGGATGTGAAGGCCTAGCCAGGAGCCAGTTTGGCTGATTCCTCCGTCCTGAGGAAAATGACAAAAAGCCTTGTTTCCATGCCCTTCTTGGGCTTGGGGCATCTCAGGAATGGCGAGGACAGCAAGGCATCCCTCAGGGATCCGCACCGCCCTTTCTCCCACGTGACTAGGCCCTTCCAGATTTCAGACTGCCCCTTCCCTGGTGGGTGGAGGGGATATTCATTAGGAGAGCTCTCAGGGGCTGTTGACTAGAGCAGAGGGCCCTTGGTTTGGCAGAGAGAAGACAAGGGAGAACTCTGGAACATCTGATAAATGTTAATAAATCAAACTCTGACACTACGGCACATGGTTGTTGGCTGTTTGGTAGGTTAGGTTTCTTTAGTAATGAAAGGCCTGTTTATTGCTGTAGATTGTTTCTATTTTCATCGTTTCTGGTGTCTCCACAGCAGCCCTGACCTCAGATCCATCGCTGTCTGGTGGGCCACACAGGCTCCTGCCACCACCTGCCCTCACCTCCCAGCTTCTTCCCTCGTCCCCACATCCCAGGAGCCTCCAGAGCAAAGTCTTTGCTCAGAAAACGGGACTCAAGACTTCCTAATGGGGAGCTGTCAGGCCTGCTGGTCCAGGGAGATCCTGGGGAGTGTGGGGCCTTCCTGGGCTGCAGGTCCGGAGGGGTTCTGTTCTTAAGACCGTGAAGTTGGCTCCAGGGGAACCCTGGGGAGGGGAGGTGAGGAACGGTCCCGAGTGGCTGGACGGGCTGAACTTGAGGAGGGGGCCCCACACGCTTCCCCTTGAAGTGGGTATGGCCAAACACTGGCTGGCCAGCCCGCCAGGCACCAAACATGCATTTAACAACTTCTGCACAGGGACGGCCTTTTAGCCATGTCAGTCTGCGGTGAGGGTGCCGGGAGGGACATGTGCTTTGTGTCCACTGCCAGCCTGCCAGAATTATGCCTGGACCAGACTTTTCCCTTTTCTAACCGTCCCTGCCCTGCCCTGGGCTCCTTGCCAGAAAGAGGAAGACCGAGGGTGGGCTCCATCTTCCTCATGGCACCCCTCATAAAAGTCATCTGGCCTGTTTCCTCTATTGCCCTGGTTTTATACCTTGACTTTGTGAGTTGAAATCACAATGGCTAGTGTTGGAGTATGCTTTTGTTTGTTTTTGTTAATCCTCACCCAAGGATAGTTTTTCCATTGCTTATCAGAGAGTAGAAGAGTGGGAGGGAATGGGAGGGAGGGAGAGAGAACCATTGATATGAGAGAGACACATCAATTGGTGGCCAGGGATCAAACCTGTGACCCTTCGATGCAAAGGGCTGCACTCTAACCACTTGGCAACACTGGCCAGGACTTGAAGATGTTTTTTGCATGCTGGGCCCCCTAGGGTAGATGTTTTATGCATATTATTTTATTTAATATCCAAATCACTCTAAGGTGCTAATATTAATATTGTCATATTCAGATCAGAAAACTGAGGCAGAGAGGAGCAAAGTTACTTGCCTCCTGTAAGTTATAAGTGACGTAGTCAGGAGCCTAGTCAGGGTCATTTGACTGCAGCCTGACCCTGAACTACTCTTTCCCCAGGACTTGTGGCTTCTCAGACTCCCAGTGCCCTTTAACATCATATATTTTGTGGGTTGGCCCCTCCTCTCTTAGATCCCCATCCAGATTACTGCCCCCTCCCTGCAGTAAGAATCTCAGCCTGGCCTGAACGAGGAGGTGGACTGCAGAGAGAGCCCCGCCAGGCAGGACACTAGTAGAGCTGAAAGAGGCTGCCCCCACCCCCCTTCCTCCCAGGGACCACCAGCTCGGCTCCAGATCAGTCCCTCTGCGTTACTAGCATGTTGAGATCCATCCTAAATTTGGGAATTGACCAAGAACGCACATGCATCTACTCTGCCCAACTCAGATGCTCCTACTTAAGAAAGGGTCACATTGCTGACTCAGTGGCACTGCTTAGGTTTTATAGGGCTCAGCAGCAAACCCCTTGTTTACAAAGATGTAGTCCCAGAAGTCCCGGGCAGACTGCAGTGGGCTGAGTGCAGAGCTGCTTTGAGAAAGATCTCAGATCCTTTGTTGGCACTCCCAGAGTCCATGGCCACCCCTTAAACTTCTTTAACTGTCATATCTCTTGGGTTGGCCCCAGGGAGGATATGAACCTTGAAGTAGCTAGATGCCTGTGGTCAAGGAAGCCAGCAGTGTTTTGGTCCCCGGGGGTAACAGCCTGCAGCAGGTTCCAGGCTTGTCCTGCACCGCCCCCTCCTGGAGGGAGGCAGCATCACCTCCCAGAACCTGTGTCCCAAACTCAGGATCTTCTTTGAGTCAAAGTAGTTCTTCCAAGCCATTGAAAGTGCAGTCAACTTTTTCCTCCCTGTTCCAGCAACCAGAAGCGAACTCCCAAAATACCTGTTGCTTATTTTCCAACCCCCAGCCAAAACTAGGCCTCAGACCCGGACCGTGACAACAGTCTCCCACCCAGTGTCCCGCCTCTCCCTTTCTCGCTCTGTCCTTCACTCAGCTGCCCTAAGAACCTCTCCAAAATGTCAGGCCCAGAGCCTTCCTTGCCTACACCCCTCATCACTCTCAGACTCACCCACCCTGGCCTCCTGATGGCCAGGCTCTGCTTCAGCTGTGCCAAGTGGCCCTCCTGCATGCAGCTGGCATCTTCCGTACTAGCAAGGCTTCATCCCTGGCATAGCCTCTGCCTGGAAGGCCACCCAACTCTCCAGGAATCGGCTGGAGGGCTGCCTCTTCACTATTTCCTAGGCATCGTGACCGTCACCCCCGCCGCCTGTGGTCCCACAGTCTTTGTCCTCAGCTCTTCCATAGCATGTGTCTGCTTGCATCGTGCTGCTTCTGCATTTCTCCCTTAGAGTGAGCTTCTAGGAGTGGTGACTTGTTCCTTTCTGTGCCTAGACACACCTGTCAGGTAACTTCTATGGTTACTGAGTATTTCCTACCTCACCTGTTGGAAGAAAGGAACAGAGCTTCCTTATCAGTGTTGGTCCATACCTCCAGCCCTGGAGACCACACAGGGAAAGTAGATGCTTGGCCTTCCTGTGTCAGGCCTTAGCCAGAGAGCCCCAGGGTACTCAGACCTGCAGGGCTCACGAAAGGGTGGAGCTTCCTTGAGGCCCAGATGTGGTCTCATAAAAGGCCATTTCTCTCCAGGCTTCAACCATAATGTGAGGGGGTCAAGCTCATTTACCTTGAGGGGCCCTCTACCTCTGAGAACCTCTGTTCATCCCTATGGGAAGTATTCATTTTGCATGGTCCCTCTGGACAGTATTTCCTGGGTAGTCAGATCATTATCCCAGGAAAAGCATAGGTACCTTTTAAACATATGTATGTATGTATATGTATATCTATAATAATAAAAGTGTAATATGCTAATTAGACCAGATATCCTTCTGGACGACCTTCCGCACGAAGCTGGGGCTGCAAGGGAAGCCCGGGTCCTAGGTGCCAGAGGGAAGCCAGTGCAGGCATCTGGGGAAGGAAGGCCTACTCACACAAATTTCGTGCATTGGGCCTCTAGTATATGTGTATAATATATATGTGTGTATATATATATACACTTTTATTTCAGAGAGAAAGGGAGAGGGAGAGTTAGAAACATTGATGATGAGAATCATTGATTGGCTGCCTCCTGCATGCCCCACACTGGGGATTGAGCCTACAATCTGGGCATGTGCCCTGACCGGGAATCAAACAGCAACCTCCTGGTTCATAGGTTGAGGCTCAACCACTGAGCCATGCCGGCCGGGCTTCTTGATACCTTTTATGGGGGTCCTCTGCTCAGTAGTTATGACACAATGACAAAGGCCTTTGGGGAGTTCACAGTCTAGTCCTGAAGACAGTTAATAAACACAGGGCAGTGCTATGTGGGTGCTACAATGCAGGGCAACGCTGGCTTGCCAGGAAAGAAGGTGCCCTGAGTTTCTCAAAGGTCCATGTGAACTAGCCAAGTGAAGGGGTGAAGGATTTGGGCTTGAACATTGTGCAGATGAGATACAGGAGGAAAAGCAGGTTGTAGGGAGGAGAAATTATTCGTTTGAAATTCCCTGTGTTTATGGTGTCAGAGGGACATGCAGGAGGACCAGGAAACAGTTGGATATGAGGGTTTTCAAAATGGCCAGCACTGGCCACCTCTTCCCAGAGAGTCTTATGGGTGAGAGGCAGTGGTCATCTGGTGGCTTGACTGTCAGACTCCAGGGAGACCATTCACCTCCACCACCACCCCTGCCTACCAGTAAAAAGGCCCTGATCCTCTGTCACTAGGGGCCATTATGGGGGCAAAGTCTGGTCCAGCTGTGATTTAACAGAGCCTCCCAAAGCTGCCGGTCTTGGGGCAGGCAAACAAACTGCCACTTCAGAGGGAGTATCCCAAGTGAGGGAGTGTCCCCTCAAGGTCAGACTAAATGCAAGCCCCTTCCTGGGAGACAGGGAACAAGGCCACGCACCTGCTTCCGTGACCTGACAGTCCCTTTCCTTTCTCTGCCCCCTGTTCCTCATCACATCCCTCCCCATCCTCACTATATCCTGTCTGATCCTCAGGTTTACTTGAGGAGCCTTTAAATCAGTGGTTCTCAACCTTCCTAATGCCGCGACCCTTTAATACAGTTCCTCATGTTGTGGTGACCCCCAACCATAAAATTATTTTCGTTGCTACTTCATAACTGTAATTTTGCTACTGTTACGAATCGTAATGTAAATATCTGATATGCAGGGTGTATTTTCATTGTTCGCGACCCACAGGTTGAGAACCGCCGCTTTAAACGCACAGAACCAGGTCCCACCCCTGCAGATTGATTCAGTTAGACCTGAGGTAGTGCCCACGAATCTATACTTTTGTCAGACTCCTGGGCGATCCAGATGACCAGTCAGGCTTCAAACCCTGCCCTGGGGAATCCTCCACCCTTCCCAGGCTCTCCCACTTCAGGTGTCTTATTTGGGAAGTCGAAGTCTGAGAAAAAGGAAAAACATTTATTTTCAGCAAGTTCAAGGTCCCAAGTTGAGGCAGGGCAGAATTCCCCCTTTCACCTGAGGGCTGAAGCCCACAGGCTGTGCTCTGGCCCTGGCTTGGGAACAGAGGAGCAACCCCTGGGATGGGACAGTCACTTGTACTGAGGAGACAGTGGGGGTACAAGTGGGGCAGCGCAGACACTTAGCATCTTGCTGATGTCCACCTGAGTTGACTTATCCATCTCGGTCTTGAGGAGGCCACTGACCCCCAAGCCGGGCAAACCCCCAGGCTCCTCTGCAGCCTCCTCTCCAAGGGGAACCAGAGCATGGGTGGGAGACACGAACATACTGGGGCAGGGCAAAGTGCGGCCTGAACCCAGCTCACCTGCCACTGGCAGCGAGGCTGGCAGTTGTTCCACACATGCCTCCTTGGGGACCAGGGTTGGGTCCGACTCAGGTTCCACCTCGGCCTCAGCCTCCCTCTCCGCTTCCCCTGCCTCGTTCAGCTCAGGGTTGCAATAGTTGATGTACTGGTACAGGGGCCGTAAGCGTTGGGCCTTTCCTGCAAGGACCCGGGGCAGAGCAGGGGCTGGAGCACCATACTGTGCCATGTCAGGAGGCCAGCAGGCAGGGAGGTGGGGGGGGGGGGGCGGACAGAGAGAAGGGCCAGGGACTGCCACTCACGCTCTAGCCCCAAGGTCTCTGAGGGTGCAGACGCTGTGCTGGCCACAGCTGGGAGTACTGGGGCGCCCAGACTCTTGCGTTTCTTGGCTTTTTTGTGCTGTTTGGTAGATGGCGAAGGCTCGCTCTGGCTACCTTCCAGGTCCTCTCTCTGCAGCGGCAGTCCCTGGGGCAGCTCAGCTTCAGCCCTAGGATGGGCTTGGTGACTAGGCCCTGGGAGGCTGGGGGACAGGAGGCTTCAGGAGGGAATAGCCCTGCATGCCTACCACTTCAGGCCCAGATTCTTGTCCCTTTCCTGGTCAATGAGGCCCCGAACTGGATAAGGGCTAAGAGCTCATGTGAGTTCAGTCCTGAACAAGGCCTTGAGACTCCCTCTCTTAGGGACAGAAGGGGTGAGGAGTGATGGTGGTGGCAGGGGAGAAGGATGCACCCTGCAGGAGTGCAGGAATTTGGAATCCTACTGGGGTGTGATACCCCCCACCCCACCAACACTATTGTTCCTTCCCTCTGAAAGCCCCCTCACTTGACTAGCTTCCTCTTGGGACCATGACTGGACCTCACAACAGAGGCCATAGGCCTGGGGCCTCTCTCCTCCAGTGCCTCCACCTCTGGCTTGAGCCGCTCTTCCTCCAGCTTGAGTCGTTCCTCCTGGAGCTCCGGCTCTGAGACTGGTCCTGTTGGACGCCTGTCTTCACCCTGGGTCCCACAGGCCTCATGGGCTGACACCAGGCCCTGGTTTCCCATTACTGGACACTAGAGGTGACACAGAGGTACCTGGTCACCATAGCCAAAGGATACAGGGATCAGTCATTAGACACCAAATGCGGATGAAGGGCGCCAGCCCCTGCCCCTGTCTGTCTGTGAAGCCGGTCCTGCCAGTTAGGGGGTCAACGTACAGAGTTTGGCCTCCTAGAGAGCGCCGAGGCCAACAGTAAAGGCTAGACAGCCCCGATGTTCACCTCAGAGCTCTGAACGTGGCCACGGGGTGCCTCCGAGAGCTGTGCAGGCCCTTCCGCCGTCCCCTCTTGGGCTCCTGGTCGCCTCTCGGTCCCTGCTGCGGTCATAGCTGCGCGGAGTCAGCACATCTGCTGGGAGTTGGGAGGGAAGGCGAAGACGGGCCCTTTTCACTGCTGTACCCGGAAGACTGGCTCGGAGGCGAGAGCCGGGGTGGGAAAAGGGACTGGCGATCGATCAGCTCTACCCTGAACTGGAACTACAAACCCCAGAAGACTTTGCGCCAGGGGCATTGGCCCCTGACCCCAGAGGCGGAAACTATTGTTGCTAAGCAACAGCAAACCCGTCGGGTTTCAGCGGCGGGCTGCAAAAAACTGCTCTGGTGAGCCCCTGCCTGGGTGTCGAGGGGGAGGGGCGCGAACGAATGAGGGAAGTGGGCGAGGAGCGCAGGCGGCTAATGCAGGCCGGGCCGGGGTCCCGTCCAGGGAATGGCACGGGGCTGAGGACGGAGGTCGGGACCCCAGGGACGCAGCCTGGCAGGCCTCGGTGCACCGTTACAGGGCTACGACGGCGGCATGTGCGAGGGCCCGTCCCGCATTTCGGGGCCCATCCCCCCAGACCCTACGCTCTGTCCTGACTACTACCGGCGGCCCGCCTCCGGTGAGTTGGGGGGTGTCGCGGCCCAGGAAGGCCCGAGCTAGGCCCGGGTCCGGCTCCACCACTGAACCCCGCACTCCGCTCTGTCGGACCCCTCAGCCCAAGGGCGCCTTGAGGGAAACGCGCTGAAGTTGGACCTGTTGACCCCGGACCCGGACCTGGACGCCACCCCGCCCCGCGGCCCCCGCATTCGTCCTGAGGGCAGAGCGATCCTGGAGCGAGGCCGATGCGGCGTGGGGGGCATGCTGCTGCAGCTCGCGGGGATTTCCCTAGGCCCCCGGGCCTGTCCCAAGAGTAAGTTCTGGGCAGAACGGGCAGCGAGGCAAATCTGAGAGCAAAACCTGAGGTCAAAAACCGGTGCTTCTCCTGCCCTGACCTGGGTTCAGGCTTTGCCTCTCTGAGTGTCCATTTCCCCGACTGTAAAAGGAGGGAGAAATGCACTACCTTTTCCTTCTCACCGAAGAGGGCTGAATGAGGTAGTTCAGCTGCAGGAATTCACATATCAGTTAAATGGTTGTTGCTTAGTGCCTACTGTTTGCCAGGCCCAGTAGGTGCTATGAAACAGGTTGAAGACAAGCATGGGCCATTATTGAGTCAAAGTGGGAGACAATAGACAAGTAAGACTAATGTTATATATAAGATGATTAACGGTATACTTCACACTAAAAATGTAGAAAATAATCAGGGATAGAAGATAAATGACCACGTCAGGAAGGAAATCAGATGGTGAGGGGGATGGAGTACCTGTATAGGGTCTAACTTGGAGCGGTCAGACCTGTGTGTGAACTGGTATGTTGGATTTCATGGGCTATATGCAGGGCAGAGCCTGGTAACATCTTTTTCCCAGGGAAGGACCCTAAAGACCATGAGAAGGAGAATCTGAGGAGGATCAAGGAGATCCAGAGGCGCTTCCGTGAGCAGGAGCGCAGCCGGGAGCAGGGCCAGCCCAGGCCCCTGAAGGCTCTTTGGCGCTCGCCCAAGTATGAGAAAGTTGAGTCCCGAGTCAAGGCCCAGCTGCAGGTAACTGCCTCAGGGAGCCAGAAGCATCCATCTTATTTGCCAGGAGTCACTTATACCCTGATCTGAGTTATGGGGAGGGAGGAAAGTCCCAGGACTAAGGTAACAGGAGACTAAGAAATAGCTGGCTCTGTTGCAGCGGTTTCTCAGAAGTGGTGATGGCTGGGTGTTCCTGAGGGGCAAGTAGGAATTAGGCAAGGGGCGAATGGAAGAGAACATTCTTTATAGGTGAAACCTCACAGGTAGAAGTCCTGAGATTAGAGGGAGTGTGGGCATGGGGATGCTGTGTACACTTTACTGCGAGGGGATAAGAGCATGAGGGTAGGCTAAGAAATCAGCTGGGCCCATATGAAGAGCCCCATAATCCACTTTTCAACCTTTATTTCTACGGGCAGTGGGAAGGTCAGGGACAGAGATAGGGTGGTGGGATTCTGTCTTGAGTAGATGGTGGCACCATTTCTCTATCAAGGGGAAGGTCAGGATTGAGAGAAAAGACAATAAGGTTATCTGGGGATGTGTTGAAGCTGGAGCATTTGTGAAACTCCCAGGGGGTGGGAGTGTGTCCAGGAAGCAGCAGATGGAGAATCAGGTCTGGATCTCAGGAGTGAGACCTAGGCGTTATTGAGGATCAGGCTGAGGACGATGAGACCAGGGAAATGACCCTGCATTTGCGGGCTTGGAAGCCAGCTGCCAATGACCTTGGTGGGGACATATCCAGGAAGCTTGGCTAGGAAGGAGAGAAAAGAATGGTAGCTGGAGCCAGAACTGAGGTAGGAGGGGTGGTTTGTTGTTAAGGATGTGAGAGACACACATGTTTAAAGGCTGATGAGAAGTGCTTTTTTAAGAGGGAGGAGGCCCAGAGGGCCGGGGATAGAGGCTCGGTTTTGAGACCTTGACCACAGCCTGACTGATCCCTTTTCTATGCCTTGCCCTCCAGGAGCCTGGCCCTGCCTCTGGGACAGAGACTGTGCACTTCCTGCGGGCTCACTCTCGCTGCGGTCCGGGGCTCCCACCACCCCGTGTCCCCAGTCCCCAGCTAACCCCACCAGATCCCAATGCCAAGGTGAGAGTATGTGTGGGATAGAAGGTGGGACAGGGATCCTGGGGGTCCCAGGGGAACAACTCAGTGCTGTTTGCCTATCATGTTTGCCATGTCCTGCAGGAGCCAGGCGTAGGTGTGGACTTCATTAGCCACAATGCCCGCACGGCCAAGAGGGCCCCCAGGCGGCATTCCCGCTCGCTGCAGGTCCTGGCACAGGTGCTGGAACAGCAACGGCAAGCCCAGGAGCACTACAACGCCACACAGAAGGGCCACGTGCCCCATTAGTAGGTCCCACTGCCCAACACCCAGGGTGAGGGATGCCTGTGGCAGGTGGGAGCCAACATCAGCCCTGGGATTATCAACCTGAATCTGTGCATCCACAGCTTGTTGGAGCGTAGGGATTTGTGGCGTCGGGAGGCTGAGGCCCGCCAACTTAGCCAGCCGGACCCTGCCATGCCCCCTGGTCACACACGTATGCCTGAGAACCAGCGTCTGGAGACACTGAGCAATCTGCTCCAGAGTGAGTACATGGACTGGATGAGGAACGCACTGAGGACCTTGCATTCCTGCCTAATACTGTTTCTGGGCCCCCTGTAGGCCAGAGCCAGCTGCTGCGTGAGCTGGTGCTGCTGCCTGCCGGGGCAGACTCACTGAGGGCCCAGGGCCACCGTGCTGAGCTGGACCGGAAGCTGGTACAGGTAGAGGAGGCCATCAAGATCTTTTCCCGCCCCAAGGTCTTCGTGAAGATGGATGCTTGAGCCCTTTTACAGGGGTAGTGACGGCTCCTAGCTGAGGATCATTGCATGGTTGCAAAGGACAGGGTCAGGCCCCATCACCAAGTCTAAAGACAGGAGTAGTGTGGGGGGGCTAGGAGGTATCCCCAGAGCACTTTTCCTAGCCACTGGTGGCTGCAGAAGGGCCATCCTAGCCCAGCCTCTTTACCCCTTTGTCAAAATTAAATTTTTTTGTACACAGTGGGGTTGGTTTCCTTAAGAGCTTTTCTTACCCTGTAAATTGTAACCGTGGTGGCCCTCCTGCTGCTCAACTGCAGGAAGGTCTCTCTGCTGCCCTTACCACTCTGGCCTCATGTCCAGGGCAGAAGGCAAGGCTGTGGGATCAGGGAGGAGGCTGGGGCTGGGACACAGAAGGACCGTCACTGCATTTGTAGAAAAACTTTAATGTTCCCCATACTGAGAGGGCCCTGTGAACAAGCTAAAACCCCACTGAGGAGTCCCCTGGAGTGGCAAGGACTGCTTCCTCGTGTGTCAGAGGCTGAAGCCACTACCATCTCCTCGCATGCTACTCCCCCAGCCAGAGCTGGCTTGCTCCTGATTGTCCAGGGATGGCAGAGAGCTGCGGGCACTTGGACGTAGGTGGCCTGGGTGCAGGTCCCAGCATGGAGAGCCCTGAGACAGCCCATTGGAACAGGGAGGCTGGCGGTTCTCAACGACCAGATCACTACTGTCATCATCGCTTTCCGGCTCAGTAGGCCCAGGCCCAACAGAGGGAGGCCCTGTCAGACGCCCAGATGCCCCACGCACCACATTATTGCGCTGATTGGCTGGCTTGACAGTGACGATGAGGTTGTGGCTGTTGGCGACCATCATATCTGTCACTTGGTCCAGGGTCTTCCCAGCCACCTCAATGCCATTGACTTCGAGGATCTCATCACTGACTGCCAGCAGCCCTGTGCTCTCAGCCAGGCCCCCTCGTACCAGGCGAGAGATGAAGATGCCTGGGACACGTTCCAGGCCCTGGGGAGCTACACGAACGCTCATGCCGTCTCGGATGTAGAAACCTAGTGGGCGGTCAGAACCGTGCTTGTGCAGCCGCACACGCCGGTGGGTCTCGGGCAGTAGGTCCACATCTATGACTGAAGAAACCTGGCGGAAATCTTGGGGCAGGCTGATTAGGAGGGGTGGCCGGGTGCGCAGAGGTGCCACTGGCCGAAGTAGGAGCCCCTTCTTACGCCGCTGCAGAGAGTTGGAGGCAAAGGCTAGGACGCTGGAGTCAGCTTCTGGAGAGGGAGACACTGAGATCAGAGACCCTGTTCTCCCTTTCCCATCAGGCCCAGACAGGGGGCAGGGGACACTCTAACTATTTCCTACCACCTGGAGGTCAGCCCAAGGGCAGGGGTCGCTGAAGGTGAAGCCTGAACACCCTGGGCATGAACTTAATCCCTGTAGACCTGCCCTGTCACCCTACCCCACAGAGGCTGCCCACTGTACCCCATTCTCCTCACCCCGCTTCTGCACTAGCAGGCGCAGCGGCTGGGGCCCACTGGTCAGGGCCCGGTGCAGGCTGTCGTCGTTGGTGAGAGGCAATAGGTCGCCGTGAGCATCTGTATAGCCAAGCAGCACGTCCAGCCCCGGGATCTGATGCACTGCACGCAGTAACCTCGAGAACTCCTGGAAGCCGCTCACAGAAGCGCGGGGCAGCGCGAAGCGTCGGAACTCAGCGTCAAACTAGAGGCAGGGAGTGGGGGGAGAGGAGGGGTCAGGAGGGAGCCTGCGTCCTTTCTCACCACAGGTCGAGGGGTGGCAGGGGTGAGAAAGCGGGCTGCGGCAACAGCTGCAGCTTTGTGCCCAGACCTCAGCTCCAGTACAAGGGACGCTGTCCAAGGTCTTCTCCCCGCCCTCCAGGTAACCCAGGCCACAGAGGGACTCCAGAGGCCGGCCGGGAAAGGAAGAAGGATGGGCGCGGGAAAGCGAGAAAAGCCAGAGAATGGGATGTGAAGGATAGTGGAGAGAAAAAGGTGGTGGGACCAAGGAGCCAGGGAGGGGAGAATGAGGGAATTGGAAGCACCTAGAGCCGAAGCCGGAGCTAGGTAGGACTGGAGGGGCCCTTACTTTGCTCTTCACCTCCACGATGCTGTCCGGACTGCGCGCCGGGGTTCTCTGTGGCCTGGCCATGGCGGGGCCGGGCGGGCCCGGGACCCTGCGCCAGGCGGCCCCGCAGGTGCACAGCCCGGCCGCCCGGCCGGCCCGCGCCGCCCCGCCCCTGGCGGTAGCACTCGCCCCGCCCTCCCATCCAGACCGTGACGTCAAGGGGCCAGCTACGGAGCGTGGAACGCGGAGTCGACGTTTCCTAGGCAACGGTGGTGGGGCTAGAGACGTCTTCGTGTGCTCTTACGTCATGACGCTACTGTTCGTCCCGCGTTCCGGAGCCTGGGGAGCGGCGCGGGCGGTGCTCGGCCAATCCGAGGGGAGCGTGATACCTATTGTTGTGTGTCATATTTCTCTGGCCTTACAAGACTAATTTTGTAGATGAGAAACTGAGTTATAATATTTACGGAGTCCTTTGGGGTCACACGGCGTTGAAGTGGCTTCGAGCCAATTCCCTCGGACTACCCTAGGCCGCAGCCTCAGGCCCCAGGTTCCTCCCTCTCCATCTGAAACAGCCCTGGACCCCTTCCTGCCCGGTGCCAAGGGAGTTTTGGCGGACGGCCCAGAAGAGTCTCCGGCTTTGTTGCTCAGAGAGGTAACAAGCAGGGAAGGATCTAGTCGAGCCGACAGGAATCTGCGCGCAAATTCCCTAACAGTATGCGCTCGTGCGCACGCGCGGGCACGCACATGGGCGGGGCCTCGATCTCAGGTCCCGCCCAGCGGTCATGCATTTCCTCTTCCGTTGAAAGGCGGGACCGGGCGCCCGCGGGAAACCTGGGTGAGCGGTGCTGCGTTAAATTCAGCTGCGGGGATGGCAAGGTTGAGGAGCGTGGTCCTGCGGCCGTGGATTCGAGAGCTGGTCCTGGGCTTAGAGAGACTCTCAAGCCCACGGGCCGGGCAGCTGCTTCAGGTGAGCCCCCCAACCCCTTAGGGCCCGGAGACTGGGGTGGGTCCCCAGGGCGGTGGAATTGACGCCCGTTGCTGTCGTCAGGTGCTTCAGGAGGCAGAAGCCGATGCCCCAGGCCCGTCCTGCGCCCCTGACACGTCTGATGTTGGGGCCGCGCTGCTTGTGTCCGACGGGACCCACAGCGTCCGGTGCCTGGTGACGCGGGAAACTCTGGACGCCGCGGACTGGTGAGAAAGGCGCCACAGGACCGTAGAGGATTTGAACCCAGCTGGGCTCGAGGTGGGCGGGCCCCAGGCGGGCGGGACTCAGTTTCCGCCGGCTGGGCTGTGAGGGTCGAGCTCTCCGCAGGGAAGAGAAGGAGTTTGGTTTCCGAGGGGCTGAAGGCCGGCTGCTGCTGCTGCAAGACTGCGAGGTCCGAGTCCAAGTGGCAGAGGGCAGCGCGGTGAGTGGTGAGGCTGGCTTGGGCGGGTTACTTGGCCTGACTCCGTGACAGCCCCTGAGACCCATCCCTGATTTCACCCCTCTAGCCCGCGGAGTTCTACCTGCAGGTGCACCGCTTCAGCCTAATGCCCACGGAGCAGCCCCGGGATTGGGTGATTGGTTGGTAAGTGATGCCTCCACCCTCCAGCTGTTCTCCCTATCCAGGCCTGGCTGGCGTGGGCATAGGCCAGGAGTGGAGAACCTTTTTTCTGCCAAGGGCCATTTGGATATTTATAATATCATTCGAAGTCCATACAAAATTATCAACTTAAAAATTAGCCTGCTATATTTGATCGGACATTTTTTTCCCCCCTTTTTTTTTTGATCTGACATTTAATTAACTCACCCCTAGTGCCTTGATAGGGCCAGATCAAATGATTTTGTTGGTCTTATATGGCCCGCGGGCCAAATGTTCCCCCACCTCTGGCCTAGGCCTTTTGGGTGAGAGGGCATGGGTCCTTAGTAACATTGACTGCCTATCACCATCTTTTTCCTAGCAACCAGGACCCAGATGTGCAGAAGAAGCTCAAAGACTGCCTCGAGTGAGTCTAGAATTGGGTTTGGGCCAGGTGTGACTTGGTCAGATGATGACAAACATGTTGACAGGCCTCAGGGTCGTTCCTCAGGCCTGTCCCCCCTCTTTCTGCAGGGAGCACCTTTCAGAGTCGGCCTCCTCCAATGCAGGTAAGTGGGGGTTGATCCTAACTCTCTGTAGAGTGACTTTCCAGCTATCACCTCCTGGTCCTTTAGTAAGCCTCTTCCCCACCCACCCTACTCTTATCTTCAAACTTCAGCCCAACCCTGCCCCCCTGACTCTAGGCCTTTCACTGACCCAACTTCTGGATGAGGTGCAGGAAGAAGAGGCGCATCAGGGGGCACTAGTGCGCCTGGCTGAGAGCTGTCTGATGCTGTCAGGCCCTTGCACAGCACCCCCGCTCACCCGCTGGGCCACCTCCAGCCACTTGGCCATGGTCAGTCTAGGGCCTCCCTTGGGAAATGTCAGGGTGAGGAGTTTGGCAAGGGCCAGGCTGACAGTTCACTTCCACAGGGAGAAGCTGTGTACACTGTCCCCAGCCTATGGCTACACATCTCTGAAGATGACCAGCAAGTCCTGAACTCTCTGGGCGCAGATCAGAGGACACAGGGTAAGGACTGGAGAGGTCCAGAGGGGAATATCTGGGGGTCTGGTCCCCACAGTGCTGATAAGCCTTTCTCCTAGGCCCTGAGCTGCCCCCACCAGACCCTGCTCTTCAGGACCTGTCGCTGACCCTGTCCTCCTCGCTTTCCTCACTCAGTTCCTCAGGTAAGGTGGTGCTAAAGCCAAAACACTGCCCGGGCTACGCAGGAAGCTATGAAAGGGACGAACATGGCCCCTGGAGACCTGCCTAAGGTCATAGGTCACTCAGCTGGTCTGAGCTGAGAGGGCTATGCTCACAGTGAGTCCCTTCTTCCCCAGGAAACCCTGCCTTATGCAGCCACATGTTATCACAGGAAAGCAGTGCCAGCGTCAGCCTTCTGCCTGCCCTATCCTTGGCTGCTCCAGACACAGGGCAGAAGGGCAGCTCCCAGTCCCAGCCAGCCATCTGCTCAACCCCCCACCCCCTGCCCCCTAGCTCCCCACATACCAGCCATATAACCAACTCCCCACTCCTGAGTTGTACCCCAAGTCTGTCACCTCTTGGTCACATCCCCAATTCACATCAGGCTGATGTGACCAGGCCCCAGCCCCAGAAACATAGACTGGAGTTCAAGGAACTAGGGTTGCCCCCCAAGAACTGGCAGCATTCTCCAAGGATAAGAACCACCGAGGGAGTCCTGGAGTCCAGTCCTGTCTGGGTGAGCATAGTCCCCCTACAACTGGAGGGTAGAATGGGGTGAACCTTGGATAGAGCTGGGAGGAGAGCTGGGGTAGCCTTGGATGGGGTTAGGGGTCCTTCTTGGCCCCTCTCCAGACACCACATCCTCTTTAGGACCCACCAAAGAAGCATCGTGATGGTTCCACCTTCCAATATAAGTACGCTCCACCCTGCACGTCCCTCTGTGCCCAGGTCCAAGCTGCCAGGTGAGTGCCTGGGGCTGTCCTGCTCTGTGGGAAATGTCCGGCCCAGGGGCCGTATGAGGGCCTCAAAATCATTTGGTCTGGCCCTGCCAAGGCCTTAGGGGTGAATTAAGTAAATGTCTGGCCAATTATAGCAGGCTAGTTTTTAGGTTTATAATTTTGTAAGGCCTGAGAATGATGTTATAAATATCCAAATGGCCTTGGTAGAAAAAAGGTTCCCCAAACCCTCACCTACAGCCTTGGTTCTCTTCCCAGGCTCCCTCCCCAGCTCCTGGCCTGGGCCTTGCATTTTCTGATGGAGCCACAGCCGGAATCTGAGCAAACCCAGGTGTGAGGGGTCATGTGACCACGTAGGAGAATGTGTGCATATAGGTCTATGCCTCTGGGTGGACAAACAGTGCTCCACACTCTGCTTTGAGTTTTTTAATAAAATAATCTCATGCGGCAGGAAAGGAGAGGATCAGGGGTTGGGCCGCCTCTTTGGTCTGTGGTTGGGGAGGGTGGACTCCGCTCAGGGCTGGAGGGCTCTGTATACTGTGGGAGCAGAGGCTCGGCTTCAAGGCCAGATCCTGCAAAAGGAGGTGGGGAGAGAGGAAGGTCAGAATTGGACTGAGCGGTCCTGCCACCCTAACAACCAGCCCAGCCCCTTCTTACCTAGGCTTGGTGACGGGGGTGCCTCAAGCTTTGGCCTTCGCTTGAGGACAGGGGACCGCTGCAGCCTTAAAGGCCGTTCTGAGGGACACAGAAAGGCTGTGGCAGGTTAAGTGCTTGCTGCTTGCCCCCACCCCTCCGCCCCCAGTGTGTGCCAGTGCACACACATGCACGCACACGTTGCTTCAGAGCTTCCCCTTCCCCTGTGTCCTCCTACCCCAGCAGAGGTTGCTCTTTTGGAGTTGGAACCTGGGCTCATTGGAAGGGCTGTCAGACCCTTGCTCCCTGGTTTCTCACCCCTCACACCACCAGGGGCCCCCTCACCAGAGCCATGAAGGGAGACCCGAGCCCACCCTCCTGCACTCAAGCACACATGGACGTGTCCCCTCACCAACAGGGGCCTGGAGCTGGTCCTCATGCACAGACACTGCTCGTCGCCCTGCCGAGAGAGGCCTCGGCCTCAGCTGGCCATCTGGGGGAGGCCAGGGTATCAGGGTATGGTCCCGGCAGCTGCCACCACTCCAGCCCTTGTCCCCTACCTTCAGGGTCCCCAGAGGAGCTAAATTCCCAGCCGGGACTCCTCCGGCCCCCAGTCCAGTATTGGGGTGGGGGCTAGCATGCCCGTTTACCTTCATTTCTGGGGCCCAAGCAAGGATCCTCTGGGAGGCCCAGGCTGTCTGGGGAGGGACTGGCTTTTCGTGGGCTGAGACAAGGGGAAGGGGGTCCTGGACCATCGTGTGGGCCCCAACCACGGCTCCTAAGCTCTGCATTCAGCTGCTGCCCCAGTGTCTTCCAGGTGGTAGACTCGGGCCCCTGGCCCCCTGGCCCAGGTCTGCATGAGGGGTCTGCAAGGAGAAGAGTTTTAGCCAAGACCTAGGCCAGGCATTGGAAGTGAGCTTGACCTGCATATTCCCCCACCACACAGTGGCCCTCACTCACCAGCAGACACGGAGTGGGTGCGGGACTTGATAGAGATGGGAGGGGCCTCCGAGGAACTGTCCATAATGTCCCCTGCAAAGTAGGTCGGGGGGCTCAGGCACCAGGCCTTGGGGGTGAGGAGAAGGAAAACATGGCTTCCCCACCCCTCTCCCAGAACATCCTCCTCCCCCAAAATGTACTGCCCTAGCCCAGGATCTCACCATCTGAGCCAGCTTTCTTGATCTCTCCATCTTTGCTCTGTAGGAAATAGGGAAGTCAAGCTCAGCTGTGCACCACCCTTACCCTAGCCTTGTTCTTATAACTACCACTAAATGTGGGCAACATGCCCTAACCGGTTTGGCTCAGTGAATAGAGCATCGGCCTGTGGACTCCAGGGTCCCAGGTTCGATTCCAGTCAAGGGCATGTACCTTGGTTGTGGGCACATCCCCAGTAGGGAGTGTGCAGGAGGCAGCTGATCGATGTTTCTCTCTCATCAATGTTTCTAACTATCCCTCTCCCTTCCTCTCTGTAAAAATACCAATAAAATATATTTAAAAAAATAAACGTGGGCAACATGCAAACTCAGTCCTGGCCTTCTTAGAGTTCAAAGTCGGGGATGGTGGAACACAGACACACACAATGTGATTTCTTAATTCTCTGATTCACTTTCTATAATGTAGTTCTTATTAGGGACTGATCAGAGTGGCATTAGCCAGATAGCGATGGGAAAGAGTCAGGGAAGCCTCGCAGGGAAATGCAGGGATGGATGGAGAGGAGCCTGTATAACCAACCCATGGGTGGTGATGAGCTGGTTCGGGAGGTGCAACCAGGGGAGGAGAGCAGTGAGAAAAGCAGTGACCAGGGCTGAGACCCCACAGGCCCTTGAGGCAGAGTTAGGAGTCAGGGCAGAGGCTTAAGAGGAAGCCCCTAGATGACTTGCTGTTACAAATGTAGGTAACAAGGTCAGATTGCTGTTAGATCTGCAGCGAAAGGACTGTCATACCTCCAAGGAGGAGATAGCAGTGGCCTGGGCCAAAGCCAAGAGGGAAGAATGGTTCACTATTTTGAGAAGGAGGGGGTGGAACAGACCTGTGTCATGAATCTCCTCCTGGTCACACACGTCACCCACAACAGCCACATGGCACCGGCCCCCTGACTTCACACTTGTGTCCTCCCCAAACTCACCTGTTTCCTCTTCCCTTCGGCACTCCCGCTGCCTCTGCTCACGCCAATCCTCTGCAGCATCACTTGTACCCTCTGTTCAAAGGATGGGGTCAGTTCTGTGTCTCCTCGCTCCAGAGGCCGCCTCTGGGGTCAGAGATGCCAAAGTGGGGAGAGAGCCCAGTGCCCTCAGTTCCAGCAGAGCCCTCGCCCCTGTCACCAGGCCTCACCTTGTCAGGTCTGGCACCCAATGCTGCCTCCTCCTCCTCAGCAGGCAGCAGTATCATTGAGTAGGCCTTGCTTTCCCGAGTGTAGCGAGGCCGGCTCCTGCGAGCAGGGTCAGGGCTGCCGGTGCCCCCTTCAGCCCCACCAGGCTCCTCCCCACGGCCAGGGCGGGCTGGTGGCCGCAGTAGGTCCCCAAGTGTGGTTTTTCGAGTGCGGGCAGCTGCCCCAGGGCTGGTCTCTAGATCAGGCCGTGGCCCCCGTGTTGAACGAGGCTTCTTGAAGGCAAAGAGGGTGCCCAGCTTCTTTCGCAGTGTACGGGGGACAGGGGTGGTACCACCCTCGGTGGCTGGGTCCTCCTCAGGGGCCCAGCTGTGGGAACAGCCAACAAACAGTAAGCAGGAAGGCCCATGCAACAGCCCACCCGCTCCCACCCCCTGCAACTGCCCCTCACTCACAGGCGATCCTGCTGGATCAGCCTTTTGGAGAAGAATTCTTCCACACCCTCATCCACTCGGGCACTGAGCCCATTTCCTTCCTGCGGCAACGCTGGGGGCACCTGGGGGACATCACACAGTCAGGTGTCAGGCTGAGTGCAACTGTGAGTTCTTTCCATCTCCCGTGTCCAACGTCTGCTCTGGGCAATTCCAGGAGCTGGGAGCTGGGATGACTCTAGGGGGCTGCTGACATGCAAGCTCTCTCCCTGTCCAGCTGGTGGGCAAATACACTGATTTCACATACCTCACCCACAGCTGGCCCTGGACACACACCCGCCCACACCTATTCTTGTCCCAGGGAGTGTCCTACACTTTCTGAACCACCCAGTCACTAGCAGGCTGGAGCCCACGCATCCCCTGGGTCACACGTTCTCACCTGCCACCCCCTCTACTCCAAACAGCTTCCTGCAGCATCCCCCACCCCCACCCCACCCGGCCTGCTGCTGCTCAGCAGCTCAGGCCTGCTGCGTCAGACCCTCTGGGGGGCCTCAAGCCAGCTCCAGTGCCCTGTGCCCACTACCCAGCCAGTACCCGGTCCACAAACAAACCTCCCCACACACACACCATCCAGATGTGCAGGAGACACAGGATTGTCCCTGTAGTCAGGGAGCCCAGTACCTCTCAGTAACCCTGAGGGATGTTGGATAAGAGAGCCACCCTTTCTTGCACATCCACCCATACAGCAGGCCAACCTGAGGCAGGGTTGGTTCTACACCCAGGTACACCCTTAACAAAGCCCAAACACCCATGACCCCACATGGGTATGGCCTGGGGTGGGGGGTGGCCAGGAAGAATCCAGGATGTAGCCACATGACCAGGTGATTCTGGGCCTCCACAACCCACCTCCTTGCCCATCATCGTCTGAGAAGCAAGCAGGCCACCCGCGACCCCCAATCCACCACCTCTGGAGGGGGAGGACACTCACCTGAGGGCCCCCAGGCGGCGGGCGGTGGTGGTGCTGGCGCCTGGGCCGTGGCCGGGCCCTGGTCGGATGGCGCAGAGGCTGCCCGGAGGGTGGCAGGTCCATGCGAGGCAGCGGGCCGGCGATGGCCCCGGGAGCGGCAGGGCTCGGAGAGCCGCGTGCAGATGGGCCTGCCTGCGGCTCCGCATCCTCTCCAGGAGCCGCCAGCTCGGGCTCCGATTCCTCAGCAGCACCTGAGGGGAGAGCACCAGAAAAGCACAGAGCACGGAGGAGCTCGGGGAGGTGGCAGTGGCGGCGCTAAGGCGGCAGGGGACCCGCCCAGGGCGCGGGGAGGGGCCCGGCAACGCCGCCCGCTCCCCTCCCCCCTGCCAGCCCCTCCCTGCCGCTGTCCATGGTGCTGAGCGCGGCCCCGAGCGAGCAGCGCGTCATGCGCGTACTGGGGGTAGGGAAACGGGGGCGGGGGGGGGGGGGCGGTTGGCGCGAGTGGAGACAGTGTCTAGGCCCTGTTCTGCCCAGGTCCTGCTCCATGCTGACTGACCACAACAAACCCCAACGTTGCAGGGTGCACGGGGGTCCTGGCCTGGTCCAGGCAACGGTGAGTTTCCAGGACAACAGGGCTGAATGACTGTGTCCAGGTGTTCAGGTCTAATGGAGCTTCAGCCCAACTGAGTAACTCCCCTTTCCCCAAGGCCTGACTTACTGTGAGCGGAGGGAACCAGGTGAAGACAGGGGCTGGACTCAGGCCATTTCCGTGGAGGACTGTCGTTCTGTTGGGGAGGGCACAAACTAGGCCTGGGGCAAGCGAGCCTCCCCACCTTCCACACTCCAGAACAAGATGGGAAGATCTAGGGTTCCAGGCCCAGAGTTCTGGCAGCACCTACCTTCCACTCCTCTTCATCCTCCCTTTCCTTCTCCTCAGGGAAGAAAAGGCCTTCCAATTTCCCAGGCCCAAAGGGGGTGGGCTGGCCTTCTTCCAGGGCCAGTGTGGCAGAGGGCATTGCCACTGTTGTCTGCTGAGCCAGACTCGCCACCTGCAATACCAGGCACCCCAGAGATGGGTAGGTAGGGCCCCAGC